TATAACTGTTGCATTCGGAGATGGTGGTTCCGTTGAGAGCGAATGGAGCGTCAGGAACAAGGCTGTTTCTCATAAACATTGTCTTCGTAAGATTCAGCTGTAGTCCAACCTTTCCACACTCACGGTCAAAGTCCGCAAGCATTTGTGCTGCTTGGCTGATGTTTGGTGTTATTAGAACGATGTCATCAGCAAAGCGGAGGTGGTGTAGTTGCCGACCATCTATCTTCACTCCCATGTTTTCCCATTCTAGTCGTCGCATGATGTTCTCGAGGGTGGCACTGAAGAGTTTTGGTGAAATGGTATCACCCTGCCGAACCCCTCTCTTGATATGGATGATTACTTCTTTGTAGAATGGTGAGATCTTGGTAGTGAATCCGCAATAGAGCTCACGAAGGATCCTGATGTATTGAGTTTGTACGCCCTGATTGGCTAGGGCTTCCATGACCGCTTCCGTCTCAACAGAATCAAAGGCCTTCTTTAAATCAATGAACGTTAGACAGAGCGGCATCTTGAACTCCCGAGATACCTCAATGAGCTTGGTTATTGTGTGGATATGGTCGATGGTACTGAATCCTTTTCGGAATCCAGCTTGTTCACATGGTTGTCCTTCATCTAGTGTTCTGCTAATCCTATTCAGGATGACTCGAGTGAATAGTTTGTAGATGACAGACAATAGGCAGATTGGGCGATAGTTGCCAATGTCGTGGATGTCTCCTTTCTTGTATAGTAGTACAGTCTTGCTGGTTTTCCATTGGGATGGAACCTTGCATTCAGACAGGTAGCGTGTGAAGAGTCGAGCTAATGTATTGATGAGTACTGATGGTAAGTTCTTCAGGTGTTCAGGTCTGATCTTGTCTGGGCCAGGTACTTTTTGTTTCTTTACCGACGAGATGGCATGTTGGATTTCGGAAGGGAGAACATTGGGAACGACATATCCATCATGTGGTATGTGGTATGTGGGCAAGTGGATGTGGCTATTAAAGAGATCTGAGTAGAATTCATGAATAATCTTCTCCATTGCCCTTCTGGAAGATGTGATAGATCCATCATGATGTCGGAGGGCAGTCATCTTGGTTTTGTAGTTGGTGAAGGACAGGCGGGCATTACGAATGTTTTTCCCAGCTTCTGCTGCATCTACCAGTACTGCTGCTCTCCTGTTTTTGAGGTCATCCTTGATGGCTTTTCTGCACTGTTTTGCCAGTTCGGACGTTTGCTTGTGGTTGCCTGAGGCACGTGCCACGCCACGTTGGCGAATAAGTTCAAGAGTGTTCGAAGAAAGACGGTTTTTTGTGGTTATCTCTCTCTTGGCATTCCTTGCACAATCATGGAGGTGCTGAATCATTCGATCGTATTCCTCATCAATGTTGTCAATGACGGCATCTTCCCATGTTGCTGCAACAGAGCCAAAGAGTTCCCAGTTGGTGGTTGTTCTGGGAGTCTTCTTCTTAAACCTTGCATTCTTTTCTCCTCGTTCTGTGAGGTAGAATTTTGCACGAAGAAGACGGTGGTCTGATCCCGTTTGGAATTTTGGGACAACAGCAACATCGGTTAGGCAAAACCGCCGATTGAATATGATGTGGTCTATTTCATTGTGGAACCGTCCATCGGGAGACTCCCATGTCCAACGTTTAGATTCAGCCTTTTGGAATTGTGAGTTACCATGGAAGGTTTTGGTTGACATGATGAACTCAGACAGTCTGTCACCTTGTTCGTTCCATTCCAGGCCATGGGTTCCGATGTGGAGTTCATCGACTGATCTTCTTGGTCCTATCTTGGCATTAAAATCACCAACAATGATCTTGTAGAAGGTGTGATCTTCTTTATAGAATTTCTCCAGCTCCATGTAGAATTTCTCAGTTTCTTTTTCACCATAACTGGATGTTGGTGCGTAGACAACAAAGATAGAAACTGCCGGTAGTGAGCCACATTTATTCAAGTGTAATCGTCCGATTCGGGTTGTTAGGCATTCAAATGAATCAATGCTTGTGACTAAGTTTGTGTTGACAAGGATACCGACACCACCGACGCCTCTTTTATCACATGTTCCAAGGAACAGTTCTTCTCCAGTGTCGAAAACAGCATGATGGGATTGATGTCTTCTCGTTTCGGTCAGACCAATGATGTCGTACTTGATCTTTCGTGCTTGTACCATAAGGTCTTCAATGGATGCAGCAGATGCCAGCGTACGAGCATTAAAAGTACAGACAATCATTTTTGTTTTTCTGCGTTTTGGCAGCCCATGTCTGCCTTGGTGTTTTATCAGCTTCTCCTTCCATATCCTTCTCGACTCTGCATAATCAGGGCTAGGGGAATGAGATCCATTTATTACTGGATGTCAGTATATTAACTGTAAAAGAAAAATGGGCAAAATTATTGACAGAAGAAAAAAATCACAAATAATTTAAAATTGAAAATCTCCTCACAAACATAATTATGATCACAAAAATGGGCATGATATCTCTACTGAATAATATGAAATATGTTAAGATAAAATAATGCTAATATTACTCAAACATTTTTTTAAAATAGAGAAATAAAATACTTCTTTAAATTTCTTATGTTAAGTTAGATTGATATCAAAACCAAAGGCAAACAAGAACATATGAGAAAAAGTTATAGAACAACATTCCTTATGAATATAAAAACTTCCTTACAAAATCTAAGCAAATTAAATTTATCCATATATAAAATAAGATTATATATCATGATAGTAGAATATGTCTGGAATGCAAATTTGACTTGATAAGGGAACATCAATAAATGTAACAGAAAACAGAATGGGAAGAAAGAAATTATGTTATATTATTTTTTGCAGAGAAACTCATTTGAGAAAACACAACTACTTGTGTCTTAAAGAAATCATATTATGGGGGGTGGGGAGAGGGATACTGGGATCATTGCTGGTGGAGAATGGGCACTGGTGGAGGGATAAGTATTCTATCACTGTATGACTAAAATATAAGCATGAAAGTTTATGTCTGTAACAGTTCCTCATGGTGATTCACTAATAAAAAATTTAAAAAAATAAATGAAATCAGATTTACCTAACAATAGAAGAAAATTTCCTGAAGATGATATATGCCCCATGAAAATTCTGTAGCTAACATGTCTGTGTGTGTGAAATCATAAATATTTTGCCTGAGGCTTATAATCAGGATTAAACAAAGATGTCTCAGGGTCAGAGCAATAGTGCACCAGGTAGGGGGTTTGCCTTGCATGTAGCTTATCAGGATTCGATCTGCATTATCCCATATGGTCCCCTGAGGACTGACAGGAGCCATTCCTGAGTGCAGAGCCAGGAGTAACCCCTGAACATTGCTGGGTATGACCCAAAGAAAATAGACAAAAAAAGATACCCCTTCTATTTAGTTTTGTTCTAGAAATTCTAGTAAGAAAATAGTCAAGAAAAGCTAAATACATAAAGTTATAAAGGTAAAATATGACACTTGCAGAAAACATGAACACACATGAAGAAAACTGGAAGGAATCTACAAAATGAAAGTGTTTAACAAGTGAATTCAGGGAAGTCTCAAAACAAGGTCAGCATACAAAGCAACAATTTTATTGTAATTCACTGGCAACAAAACGCTAGAAAATAAAATTTTAAGTGACTATCAGAAGAAATATAGAGCACTTAGGGACAAATATTATAGGATATACAAAAATACCACATTAAAACTACAAAATATTACTGAGTTCAAAGAATGAAGTAAAACAAGTATAAAATGTTTACACGTAGGAAACACTGCCCCCCCCCCCCAATGGGCACAAATGAATTTACTTCATATAGCTACTTATGACAAGATAGCAAATGGAATTATCATAAAATTATATCAATAATAATCAATTTGTGATTATTATAGTTCACAATATTGTTACTAAAGTCATTATCTGGGAGGTTTTACTGAACTGGTGATGGTACTCATTGAACTATCTGTGTTATTGGTTTTGCTCATTGAGCTTGGTGGGATTCTATGCAAATTTCCCATCAAATTTGCTATGCTTCTACTGGGCTTTTAGTACTATAAAATTTGAGGTGTTCTGTATTCATGTATGCAGCCATGTGCACTTTCCAGGAGCCGTGGACCTGTGCTGTTTTCATGTCAAAGGAGGTTGGGTGTGGAAGCTGTTGGACCTATCTGGAAAGAAAAGATATCTGACCACCCCCATTCCCAGAATGCTGCAAGCATTTGCCTTGCAATGGCCAATCCTGGTTAGATCCCCAGCACTCCCTGGTCCCCTGACCACTGCAATATGCAACCTTGGCAACCCTTTAGGAGAGCAGCCCTAAGTAGCATCTCCAGGTGTGTTCCAGTCCTCTACCCATCACCCTTCCACACAATCCAAGATCAGTGTCTTTCAACTTTCTGTTTATTTCCTCCTGTATTTTGTCTGATTTATATTTCTGCTTTCAGATTCATTGTCTTTCTCTCTCTGATAATGCCCCTATTGCTGTCTTATAGCCATTGGCTTTCCAGTATCCGTGCTGCCTGTGAAACAGCAGCATGAGATCAGGAAATGTCTCTGAGCAACTTCCTTCTAAGTGAAGAGTACAGGGAGGAAGAAATTTGCTCAGAATATTAAAAATGAACTGTCCTGGGCATCTTTTGGTCCTACTTCAGGCCCTTGACAACCACATTCTATTTGTTGAATCACCTCTGTGACCACAGAACACAATCTGTGTATGTTTCCTGCCCCAAGGCTCTGAGTTTCTTGTTCCTGTGCTGCTGTGAGTTTAGTTGATGAGCTGCTGCTGGCAACTCCCAAAGCACCTCCCTGCCACCCCACAACCCATCCACTCACACAGACTGAATGAGACAGGGTTGCACATGGTGAACTCTGACCAATGCTGCACGAGAGTCAATGGACAAGGGATCTCTCTTAAGCAGACAATTTGGAGCTCATTTTATATGTCAGAAGGGGCCCTACAAGGTCAAGTCTTGGTCCTTTGTGGTGGAAGCAACTTGGCTCAGGGTCCTTCTTCTTTGTGTCTTTGTATTTTAACCCAGTTCCAGCCTGTCTGCTCCTGATGTACTGTTGCTTCTTAAATGATACCCTGGAGGCATGCCCCCATTTCTAAAACTGTCACTGGAGAGTCCCAAAACCAGCATAAGAGGCTTCATGATTTTATTTGGTGCAAGGTGACGTCTTTCCACTGTCCCAATATCCAGGAACTCATCTAGTTTCACACAGAACATACAGCTGCCAAAGAAGACAAAAATACAGAGAAGAAGAGGACAGTGTGCTCAGGAGAGAAAGATAAAGGTGCAGGATTGCAGTGATTTATTCAGCTTAGACTGGGGCATATTTTAGAATAGCAAAACTTTAGATAGAAACTGACTGATAGATTCTGAGCTCTGATATCATCAACCTCACTTTTATCAATGTCCTAAATCTAGAAGCACTTGGCACTATGCATCTAAGAGAGAGGAACCCCAGGGACACAATAAAACTTGGGGGTTGAGCTAAAAAAGTTCTTGCTCAAACTCCCCTCCTGCTACAGAAGCTGGTGAGATGGAAAAGTGGTAGAAAACATTTCACATCAATGTGCTACATAGATGCATACAATTGCCATTCAGTGCTGCTTGAAAAAGTTCCTCTTAATGCTTTTATCCTCTCAAAAACTAAAATTAGAATAGTCATCATCACAAATGAGCAATTATAATAGGGGTTCATTCAGCCACTCTAGCTCAATTAGAATGTAAGTAACAGAAACATTAGCTTAAACTGTAATAAGGAGGACAAAAAGAAAAAAATAACCACATTTTTGTGCTGCAGAAAGAAAATGCAAATCCTCTTCCTCTAGTTGTGGTTCCAAGATGCAAGGTCTACTTGCATAAGGACAGGGCTAGGAATTTGGCTTCTTTTGTCCTACATCCTTCCTGGCTGTCAGCAACTTCCTCACTCTCCAAATAAGGCAGCCAGAGTTGACCCCAGTGTCATTTTCCCGTTGCATACAAGGTGATGGGGACGTTCCCTCAGGAAAGTGGATTTTTTTTATCCTGAAGTACTGATATTTCATAGGCAAAGGTTTAATGATGAACCCATTAAGACTTCTGCTTGGTGATGGAATGAAATCCACAGGGCTGACTTAAGCTAAGAATGAATTGGTAGGAACACTGAGGAATCTACCACTGCATCTATAACACACATGTTACTTAATTTATGAGATTCAAAGGTGCATCACCATCCAGAGTAAATGAGGTCAGGTAAAAGACCTGCTTAACCAAATGAACTTCACTTTGCTGCACACAGCAACAGCATAAAATTACTCTTCTGTCACAGGAAAACCTAGCTCAGAAGGATTTCTATGCAGTTTCCAAGATCAAAATCTTGTCTGCAAGACTCAAGTCATTATCTAAACACAGTGCATAATGAGGTCACTATCAGCAACACTTCTCTTGTGGGTTTATTGGCTTCCATGTCTAAAAGTTATACACTAGAGAAGTTCTTTGAAGCTCCAAAAGGACAAATCAATAGCTGATCTAATGAACCTGCCTCATACCTTTTAGATTAGATCTCTATATAATTTATGTATACCATATGTTTGATTGGTTATGATGCAATTTCTGTCCAGAAGCCAAATTGTTGGCCTGAGGTCAAGCCCAACACAAATGAGCACTATTAACGTGCCAGTTACAATCCACCCAGTGATGAAGTTCTGACATTTTACTGGGGGCTTCTTTCCTGCTTGAATCTTCTGTCATTTTGACAATTGAATCTCATTTGCAAGGAAAGGATAAAAAAGACAAATCTACATCTTGACATCTTCTGACGTCTCTCTGGAGGTGATGAATCCCTGTTTGGGGTAAGGCTCAAAATAATTGAGCAATGGAAAGTAAATGAGAGAACAGTTTCACAGTAGCTTCAGTCTTAACAGTCTGTCAAAGCATCTTGTCAGGTTACAAAACAATGATTTAAATCCCAAATGCAACTCATCATTCACCCATGTGAGGTAGCTGCACATTCATGCTCAAGACACATGCATATCTGTAATCAGAGAAAGTCTCTAGAGTTGTACAGTAAGCCAAGTTCTATTTCCATATTGATAAATAAGACCAAAGAAATGTTCATATTCAAAAATCCAAATTAGTACTGTAAAGAAAACACAGTGAACTATATTTACATTATTATTGAGAGTAAATTTGATTGACATTCTACAAAAACATTGACCTAAATGACAAATCCCTGAGCTTCAGCTATGGCGAAGCTCATCAAAGATGACAGCACATTTGTCTTTAGAGACTTAATTTTTTTTATTTTTAATATGTTTTAATGATTTAGTGTGTGTCTCTGACTATAAAAAATAATTTTTTAACTTCAATTAAAAACTAACTCTAGCAAGAACCCAATTCTGTCGATCATTACCAATTTAAAAAAATAATATTATTTCTCACAAAATTCTTACAAAATTGACAAAATATATCAGTTCTCCCTGTATAACTTCCATTGCAAACAAACATAAATGTAAAAGTTATATTCATTGGTTTAAAAAATAGCTACATTATATATAATATTTCTGAATGCTGAAAACTCATGATATGTTACTTTTTTGGCTTATTATAATCTACACTCCAGGGTCGAAATTTATTTATTCAGTTTCTTAGAATTGGGAATCCTAAGTGTTAATGCTTAGATCTCCAATCATTTCTAGGCTGGAGTTCTTGAGGGTGCTCCTTGAGCACCCCATAAAACCAATGGTTACAAAGCAAGCATAAAACTGTGAGCTAATAGCAATGTTGTTTTCCATTATTAAAAACTGTCACTTTCCATTGACTTCTTTTTTAAAATTAAAAAAATAATTTAAAAATTATGTGACTTTAAGTCATCCTTCAGTTGGGACTAGAGAGATGTTACAGCAGGTAGAAGGTTTGCTTTACCTCAGCTGGATCTCTGGCATCCATATTGTTGGTTATTAACGCTAAGTGCCTTAGGCTTCATCAGTGAATTGCCTCTTCTCCTCCTCCCAGAGAATCTTACTGTGCTCTTGCTAGCATCCCTAATTTAGTTAGTTTATCTTTAACCTTTCCTTTGTGCTTTACCTCTCATTGTCACAGTTCCCCAAGTCAGTCTTGATTACTTATAAGCCAAAACCTCCTGGTAACTCTGGACTTTGTATTTGTAGTGCTTTGTATTTGAAGTGCTTTGTATTTGTAGATATAGACTTTTTATATTTAACTATAGAACAATGTTCTTTGGTTAATTGCAGAAAAAGACTGTTAATGCTATGCTCCGAATATTTGGGAGTTGATTGACCATAAAATATATCTACTACTGGGCTTTGGTAATAATTACTTGACTCGGTTATATAATATATAATATTATAAATGTTATATATAATATATAATAATTACTTGGCTTCAGTTGCTGCAGTTCCTAACACTCCAAAAGCAACGTCCTGCCATGGAACTGGGACGTATGTGGGGCAAGTGGTGAAGCTACCCCAGCATCAAAATGGGACAGTCTAGGAAACATAAACACATGGTTTTGATGCAAGCTATTATGACTTAAGAGAAAGGACCGCCATGGGGAAAAACAACTGGCCTGGGATTACAGTAAAAGACTTGCTTTCTCTCTGAACCCAGAGTACTACTGTTTTGGGATCTTTGTCTCTTACTGTGTTTATCCAAACAACTGCTAGTATTGATAAGGTAAAGGTAAGGTAAAGGTAAAGGCCCTCCCGTTGTTCATCGATTTGCTTGAGCGGGCCCGGTAACGTCTCCATTGGAGACTTTGTTGTTGCTGGCTTTGGCATATTGAATACGTCACGGGGAGCTTGCCAGGCTCTGCCATACGGGCGAGATACTCTCGGTAGCTTGCCAGGCTCTCCGAGAGGGGCGGAGGAATCAAACTCAGGTCGGCCATGTTGGCCGCTTGTAAGGCAGACACCCTACCGCTGTGCTATCGCTCCAGCCCATATTGTTTAACATATTAACAACTAGAAGGAAAGGCAAAAGCAATGTAGATGTCCCTGGGAGACAGAGTGTCTCCTTGGGTTAATCTCCCTAAGAGAATTGCCTGTGCCAAATATATTGTTTGTAAATGATCAATCACACCTAGGTCCTATACCTCAACCCTCTTCAGATGTTCTATAAGTATGCTAGCACCTCTTCATTAAATGGGCCATTTTCACCATCAAACTGTAGCACCCCATCTCTCTCTCCCTCCCTCCCTTCCTTTTCTTCCTCCCTCCCTCTTTCCCTCCCCTCCCCTCCCTCCCTCCCTTTTTCCTTCCCCCCCCTCCCTCTCCACTCCCCGCCCCCCCTCCCCCACCCCACTGGGGAGGCCTGAGGAGGACGGAGGTGGCTCTTGGCCACCAAACATATGGGTCATGCAGCAGCCACACTTTTTGTGAACTCACATATATGGTCCCCAAACCCAGGAGGAGTTATTCCTGAGTGCAGAGCCAAGAGTAAGCCCTGAGCACCATCTGGTGTGACCCAAAAAGCAGAAACCAAACCAAAGCAAACAGCCAAACAAAAATCTATCCTTCAGTAAATAGTGGCATCTGAAAATCACTAATTGGCAAGTAAAATAATATACAACATTAAATATCCAAATCATAGAATCAACAACACTGAAAACATGACATCCAAACTTAAACAATCAAACTTAAAATAATGTGCTTGTCAAGACGGCAGGCTGGGCATTGGAAATGGGAATAGTGGGGGAGTGGGGGTGTGGTGTGTGTGCAGCAGGTGGGAAGGAACCTGGGATCCCTGGTGGAGGGAAGATGACATTGAAAAGTGGGATTGTGCTAGAACATAGTATGTCTAAAACACAACTATCAATGACTTTGTAAATTACGAATAAAATTTGAAAAAAAAAAAGAAAAGAAAATTCAAATAAAAATTACCACCAATTTTAATGGTCTTTTTCCCCACCCTGCTGAGTCAATGAGAAGCAAGAAGATATCTCTCAGACACATAAAAGCAGAAAAGATTGGGGGATAATAAGAAATTGAATGTCACAGGAGCACATATATGCTGAATATTTACTAAAAATCTCAAGATAAAAGATTAAAACTTTTAAAGCAGTCTTCTCTATCATCCTACCAATTTTAAAATAAATTAAAAATAAATAATATTATTTGTATTGTCTCATTGGGACAATTAGAGTGACAAACACACAAGTAGTTCATTTTTTACTTATCAACCCTATAGTTTCTTGAGTGCTTACTATGGACTGCATACTTTTAGGAGTTTGAGGGTATAAAAACAGACAAAAAACTGTGACTCTTGAAAGCTTGCATTCACTTAAAAACTTTTCCAACCTCTTCAAAAGTATTCCACTCTTGATATCACTTTTTAGAACAGAAAGAGGTTTAGAATTTAATGAATTTGCCCAAATGTCATTAAAAGCTGTTATTTCCAAAGACTCTGTATGAGTCTTGAATTCTTAATTGCCTTAAATATGAAAAACAATGTTAGCACACAAACTGTTAGCAATTTTCTTAAAGACTTGAAACTTCTGAAAACACAGAGTTAATTATGACAGGAAGAGCTAAACTCAGTTAACCTACTACTTCATTCATGAATCTTTAATCACAATCATTAGGGGCAATAAGTAAGAAAGGGTGAGTTCCCAGGGTTATGGAGTTATAAACTTTTGCTTCAGTCTTCTT